AATATTACATGAGGTTGGTTCCAAAACCGGTAATGTCCATTGAAGATTTCAATCAGAGAAAAGCACAGCAATAAGCAAACATGTTACTTGTCATAATATAGTTACAATCCTCTGGCTCTTAGCATGTTACACCTACTTAACAGAGTATTTTCCAGACTTGTCAAAGAAAAAAGTTTCATAAACAGTAAAGAAACTACAGTGCTAGTCATATCTAAAATAATGTCTGAAATGTATTGCTGAGAGTAGAGAAGGTAAACTGTATTCTTTCCTAGTTCCTTTCCCTTTTTTAAACTAAAGATCAACTTGCAGAGACATAAAAATGTTACTGAAAACAGGACCTTAGTTATTACAGATGCTAAATTACTTAGTTTTACTGTACAATTCTAACATTAAAAAATGGCAGTTACAGAGCAGGGCAAATTATTATTATGAAGCATTAGGAGCTGTTAAGCAGAAGTCTACTCCACTGAAAGGTAATTCTATGAATACCGATAGTTCTCAGATGTTCATCAAGTGAGATGATATTCATCAAGATATTTTACATTAAGATATTACCATGGACACTAATTAGTAAAAGTAGTAGATGCTACTGGTGGTGTTTCACAGCCATTCTCTTCTCTATCCTCCTTCCCAATACAGTAAGATGAGACATTCTGAGAAAGAAATCCCCATATGGATAGTAATGTTTAAATAGCAGCCTCTTGTGTCTGTAAACTACAGCGCAGATAATTTCTTAGTAATGAACATTATATAGGCTTATTAATGATTTTTGATCCTTCCAGGTGTCCTTTAGGAACTGTTTTGAAGGTTGCAGTGGAAGCATAAAACTTTCCCTGAAATAATGCTGCACAGAGGGATAAATTTTACAGCTATTATAAAGTAAGAACCTTACACAAAAATAAGGTAAGTGTCTCAAAAGAGTGACTGATTGTAGTGATGCAGAATGTTCATGTTGACTTTCAGCAATTAAGCTTTCTTCCAAATGAAAAAAAATAAGTTTCCTAAAGAGACAAATAGCAGTGATCTTAATTCCTAGGCCTCAGCTTACCAGCAACACTGGAACTGAACAGCATCTGGTACTTATTAGACATTTTTGGTCTAACATTTTTTGAACATCCAACAGCAGCCCTGTGTCACCTCAGGGTCCAGGGACTCTTTTGTTTCCCTAATCAGACAAAATCAGGTGCCTAGCAAAGCCTGAAGCACAAGCTATCTTAACATGTTTTAGATCGCTATCACCATTTTGGGGCACAATATGCTTCCCCCCTTGCCCCTTTCTTTCATGACCAGAGTTAACTTAAAATGTATTATCCCCCTACTGCAAGACTTCCCAGAACATCAACGGATCCTTTCAAGCCTTTGCAGATGTTGAGCTGCTGAAACAGGCCTCAAATGCAGGGACCAGTAACTGAGTTGTTCATACAAGAACATACAAACAAATTGGGAAGATGGTGTAACAGGAACATTTTTGCAGAATAAAGGAGGAAAAGAGATTAAAAGCAAAATTTACTTTTCATAGAATAATACAGTGTCCTATCTTTGACACTGCTACCCCTCCCCATAGGATTTAGGGGTCACATGCATTTGAAGAAGTATCTACTTCTGAACTAGTCACCCTGGGTTCCCTATGATACTCAGAAGGCAAACAGCCCTTCCAGGGCATGATTTATGCCATCTTAATACTCCTAACATGTGTCTAAGGTTAGGCAAGATGATATAATTTGGGGGATCTTTACCTCGGGAATCCTTGCTCTAATGACTTTCTATAAAGCGTGTTCTGAAGTAGCTTCTGAACATTATGCTTGATCATCCAGATCAAGCATTTGGGAGTCTGACTCACTGATTATTACTTTTTACCTCTGACATGTTACTGCCCTGGTGTTGGGAAAGGAAAATAAATCAGGTTTAATGAAAAGGTGAGGGAAAAGCAAACGGGGGGGGCTCTCTTCCTTCTCCCTGCTCTGCTTTAAATATACTGCAGAACTGCACTATGTCTGAGGACACAAATATACTGCAAAGTAACAAGTTACTCCAAGGCAGCTGATAATATAAATGCTACAGTCTCACACTGACCCTATAGTAAATTAAGGTAGCTTCTCAGAGCATGCTGCCTCACATTTTCCTACTGTAAGGATATGACACATCATTAGTACAGGACAGACGTTACAAGTTCACATGAAGAGTTAGCACAATGTTCTCAAACCAGCATGTGTTCGCATACCCTATACAACCTATATACAACAGTTACTTGTTAACCTAAAACATGTACCTCATACAGGAGTTCACATGCAGTTATATAGGAAATAAACTCACTCCTTGGTGAATGTCAGTCTTTTCAGGGCACACTACTTCCATTAAGAATGCAAAAAAAGATAAAAAGGTTATGTTCCATTTTTAAAAAATTATAAAAGGTAGAAAGATACCTTCTCCGCTGTCTGAAAATACTGCTTTACAAGGTCTTCCACCCTCAGTGTCATCCCCTCAGAAGCAGGTCTGCTAACCAGTTTTCCAAAATTAACATCACTGTCTAGAATAGAAAAGCACAGTGGCACTGTCACCCACATTTGCAGCTTTTAATTACTATCATCCCACCGATAGGAAAAAACGTTAATACAGGCCTCTGAAGAATTATTGTCCCTTTTATATGTAAAGGTTGTTTGTTCTAACTGTAGAGCTTATTGCCTGGACACACAGGTAAACATAATGGATGCAATAATTGTACAAGACAAATGTCTGGAATTATAAATTGAACACTATGTCCTGAAGGATATTATAATTGAACTCTAGAAGATCACAAATAGAAGAAAATCAAAAGGACCCATAAAAGCACAAGGGGTTTTTTATAAGTAACTCTGTTAATAGATGAGAAATGTTCCTCCAAAACACGCTGACCGATTTTCAGTAGAAAATGTCCATAGCTCACTGAGGCTGCCCCCCATTCTCAGGCAGCAAGGTAGGAATGACAGAAGAATTAAAGGGATAATTAACTGAGATGAGCACATACCACGCAACGTAAAATACAGTGACTACAGACTGCTTCCAGATATCTGCCACATGCAAGCACAAAACACTGTTTTGTTGGCCTTGTTATATAAGCAGCTATGACAAAAGAAACAATAACAACTTCTGAGCTCATCAAGTCTTAACATCACCTGTACTGAACCATAGCATTATGTGCACATGTACTGAACATTTTGACTGCTTTATTAGCCACCTCCTTTGTATTAGAGGATATCTAATAAAGCAATGCAAAGAACCATGGTATTCTTTTTATATTCCCTTCCTGAAGCTGAGATGCATGTTAAGTAGGAAAATTTTAAAAAATGTATTGATGAAACATGGTGACAGATGTAGCAGCCATCTTGTAATATGAAAATGTTAATGCGATTACACAACTACTAAAAAAAACAACAAAGCAAAATAAAACAAGATCAATACATCATAATTAAAAAAAAAACTCACTAAAAGCAGTTTTTATTCAGGAAACATGATGTTTTGAACTTTATAAAACTGACAGTGTACGTAAAAACTGTCAGTGGAACTGGAGTACTTAGAATGAACTAACGTGAAATATTAACAGCTCTTCAGCACAATATGTTCTTGTGCAATCCATATCTTCATTAGCAGCTATTACAAATCCAGTATTTAGGCAACATCTATTAACTATTTATTAAAAATTCCAGGCACAGTGAGAAATGCTACAGTAAAACAGTTATTATTTGTTTTGTAGAAATGCTTGAATAGAGACAGACCTGGAACAGACAAGCCAAGAGCACCTAATACACATGATTAAGTCAGGCAAATAAAATGCTGTCATACATTTGGACCTTTTTTTTTTTAAGTATACAAACATATATACAAGCTGATCCCCTCCATGATTCATTAAGGCAAATAAAATGCTGTCATATATTTGGACCTTTTTTTTTTTAAGTATACAAACATATATACAAGCTGATCCCCTCCATTACTATTTCAGGTATAAACAGATGAATTCCTACAGCAAGTAGATTAAAAAACAAAGGGAAAAAGCACAACACCAATCTCTTTTCCTGCAGAGTGCCCAAAACCAACCACCTCATTCTGAGAAATCTCAAGAGTGAGATGTTTAATACCTTTCATGGTAATTATGATAGAATCATGGAGTAACTCAGTCTGGTATGGGGTTATATGTATTCCTATAAGCAACTCAATAAGGTTTGAGGCCAAAGAAAAAGGAATTATTTATGACTAACTGTCAGAAGATGCTGTGCTGAGTATCAAAATTTTAGACAAACCCAGAAAGAGAACAGAAATACGTCTGTGATATATGCACTTAAATGAGACTATGCACCTTTACTCCTCCTGTAACACATTATATGGTAGACACCAAGCGTTTACAAGTGCTGTGTAACAAAATAAAGGAATAAGAATGAAAATCAAGGCAAGCCAATGATTCTTTCCCTTTTAAAATTACCATTTTTCTCTTTTTGTTCACGATGCCTGAAAAAGTGTATGATGTCTTTTGGGTTAGCCACTCTATCCATGTACTTCTGGCTGAAACGATGGACACTGAATGGTTCAAAGCCACCTGCATAATCAACCTAAGAGAGGAAAGGAAAAAATTAAATATGAAACAAACAGAAATAGAGAAGCCACACAAATCAAGATGCGTTTCCTACCCTTCAAAGGAAAAATTAAAGTAAAAAATAAGTCAACCTAAAATTAATGCTTTATCATACTATGTAGAATAGTTAATGGATAATAATAGCTAATAATAATATTAACAGAATAGTTAATAACAGCCCAGATTCATTCAGTACACTTATGACCAATCTCATCCTTTACCACGGAATACTATTTATGCCACAGGTAAAGAGAATCATGGTATGAAGGAGATGTGTATTTGCCTGTACACAGTAAGAAATTTTATATATTATGTATTCATACAAAAAGCATGATTTTGCTTTGAAACTTTTCACAGTGACTTTTCAAAACAAAGCAATCCAAACTGAACAATATCTTACTCGTAATCTTATGAGAGGCTTCTCTGGCTGACGTGGATTTCCCAAGCGTTCTCTTTCTGCGCCATCCAGCATCAATTCAACCTATGAAGCAGATTTAGAAATTCAGTTTGACTTTATTCTCTTACAGATGCCCGAGTCCTTCAAGTATAACCTAAAACACATCCAGCTGCAGGGGAAAGCTATAAAAATAAATAATCATATGATGTGCTGTCATTCCTGAACACACATATGTACCAGTATCCAGCCAAAAGCCACAGGAATGAATGCGAAAAAAGTCACAAGGAAAGGCTTAGCTTTCAGATATAGCATAGTCCAGCAGTATCTACATCACTGATCACTCACACTATTTTACCTTATAGCCATTATTCTTTGCTAAATGTCTAGTTCCAGGGAAAAGCAGGAAGAAATTTTCACACATCTAAGAACAAAGAGCACTTAATAAACCTGCTTAGTTACTTCTGCCACTGTCTTCTGTCATAGATCCCACTCCCTGTCCAATAGTGTCCTACACTATTACCCATATACTGTTAGCATTACAAGTTACCTTTTCCATGCAGAATGCTTGTATTGCCTGAGTTACTTTAGGATTGTCAGGATTAAAAAGATCTGGATGATCAGCTAGAATAATATCCTCCATGTGGAAAGTTCGCACTGTCTCTAGAGCAATCTTCTGCATTTTCATTTTTTTCCCTTTAACATGCAGCAAACCAATGTGTCTAGAAAAGAGAAAGATAACTTAATAGAAGATAAACTTATGAGAAGTATGGTATAAAAATTTGTTTTAAATTCATGTTCAATTTTCAGGGACAAAAGTTTAAAAGCTATAGGAAGTTCTTGGATCTGTACTTCAGGGTTGGCCCTGCCAAACTTAAGTTCTATTATATTTAGATTATGCTTGTTCTATACACGAGCACATGTACACAATTACTTGCATTCCAATTGATCAGGATGCAACTCCTCTTAGACAAGTTCCATTTGCTTCAAATGTTTAACCTAAGATTTGGTTGAACCTAAACCTTAGGTTTAACCCTAAGTAAAGCAAAAGTACTAGGTACTTATTCCATGTCACATTCTGAAGCTAATCCACACTATAAGACAAGTCCTTTCATACTTAATAGAAATATTTTTCCTTTTTCAACACAACACATGAGAGACAAAAGGCAAGGGATAAACAAGAACAAACAGAAAAGATCACACACTTCTTCACAGCTTCTCCGGGGGACAGAGATGTCACCACTGAACTTCCTGGCTGAGAAACATAGAAACGTTGCTGTTCGTTTTGGGATGGAGCTATTTTGCACTCATGTTCATGACCCCACACAACAAGATTAATGAAGTCATCTAAAAACTGTTCTGGAATGTAGTTGGTGGCTCCATGTTTGCTCCTGTACAAGAAAAGAGAAAAATAATGAGAATGTGTACAGTCATGGGAGGGCAAGGGGGGAATGAAGGAGGAGAAAGACATCAGTGTGATTTAAAGATACAGAAACTCCAGAAAAAATATCTGATGTACATTTCACATCTGGTACTCTTAACATTTATTCCTTACGCAATGGTTTAAAGTGTTTGGATAAACAAAAAGACAACTTACACAGCTCATTCTTTTCTGCTCCCCTCCTTTTATTTGGATATCCCTTTTTTTCTTACTTGGCTTGCAAGACTTTAGGGGGTTTTTCCATATGAATGCCTTTATAGTACCTCATGGCCTTTTGTTCTGGGTTTGCTTTTTGTTTTGTTTTGTTTTTTTGGCAGTGGGGTAAAACCCACTGAATTAAACAGACATGGGACATCCCCCCCAGTCCCTTTCCAGAAGATGGAGGAGATGGAGAAGTGAGCTCCTTCAGCCTACTGGACAGTGATCAGTACACAGGGTTATAAAGGTATATTTGTTTACTTCTGCCTCATTGTTACTTGCACATGAGGATGGCACTCTTACTCAGGAAAAATTATAAGGATTTGGAAAAGAACTCTGCCTGTTCCTACTACCACTGCTGGGAGAAGCGTGCAGGCAGAAAGAACACATGCTGCCTATCCTCTGTTCAAGAGAAACTGTAACGCATAGCAATGAAATTGAAGACAGGGTAGCTGTCAAATTATGATTCAAACAAGGATAGAAAATACAATATGAAGTTTAATGCTCTTTCAGCTCTAATAAGCAGACAAGACTTAATTATATGCATATTACAACACAAACCCTCCTCTGGCCCTAACTATAAGAGTTTGGGAAGAGATTTCCCAACATTCCTAATTCATTTATTTATGATTCTTCTGTAAGCAGAGCTGTAAAACAACACTTTCATTTGGAAAAATCTGTAAGAAACCAGCTACTCACAAGACAGACAAACACTACCCTTTTCAAGGCAATTTTATGAAGTAACACAGTAAGTTTAAAAGTCAGTGTAATTCATTCAATACTGTTACCTATTTTGATGAATCACAAACAAGTTAAACCAACTATCTTCATCTTCCTTTGGCCTCAGCATGGTTACTTGTTTATTGACAAACATACGATACAACCTCTCATCTGGAATAGCTCCTGGAACAGACAAAAAATATTGAATTATTTTTGTCTGGTAAACCAACTCTTTATTTTAAAGCATTTTTATTAGCAACTCTATTAAAAAGAGCATGAAGAACAGAACCTTGTGGCAAGATCAGATCTTCATTTTCATGACATAAGAAGTCTGAGGCACGATTATGAATTTGAACAGATCAAAGTATAAATTGGCTATTTTACTACACAGACTTCTGAAAATAAGATATTTTAACGTGAAATCTACCTTCAAACAACCGCTAAAAGCAGTTTCATTAACTACATCTAGTTAGAGACCTCCTTCCAGTTTCCTGTGCCAAACAACTGACTATGGGCAGAATTAAAAATATTAGAAGAGTTTGTTTGTTACTTGTTGACAGATTAAGAAGTATATTTTGTTGTAAGGTAGAGTCTAAAAACAGCTAATATTGCGTAGAGATGGAGTTCTTAAACATACTTTAAAATTCTCTACAAAACAAGAAATAAACTATGAATTCTGCAAAGTCTGTGCTTTCCCACACAGCTGGAAAAAGTCTGCAGTACTTCTACACTGTTTGTCACTGATTATTTCCTTGAGGTTTTTAACAAGGGGGGAAAAAAACCAAACCCAAACCATCCATATCCAGGGTTCACGATGCATTTCAATAGAATCCCATACGAAATTTACATATTTTGTATAAGAACAAGTGCTCTCTAAATCAGGGAAAGTCAAGAGGGTATATAACCCTGGCACAAGCTCAAAGAAACATCTCATGAACATTTTCATGCAGCAACACCCATAATTTAGAAAGCTGTTGCATTTCCCAGTATTGATTTTGTGTATTAAAACTTTAAATGCTTGTTGAAAACTTTCATATTGTGGTATTAGAACCCTCACTAATAACCTTCAGAACACCTAGGAAGCTTTAAAGTATCTTATTAAACAAATGAAATCATGGCCAACTAGGACTTAACTTATAGCTACAAAAGTTGCTTGGAAATAAGTATTTAAGCACTCATGACTGGACACAAAATAAGAGGGAAAAATTAAGATCTTAATAGTTAAATTCTTTAGACAGAACACAGTCAAACATAACCATTCTAAGTAAGAACTGCGGGTAGAGGGGAAGGTGGAGGAAAAAATAGAAAGGGACAAACTGAAGTTGAAAACGCACCATAGAACACCTTTAAAATATGAAACTCTTCATAAGTTCCTTTAAAGAAACCGAGTTTACCTGTGACAGATGTTATTCATGAACCACTTCAGACAGACATGTCAGACATTAGGTTTCTGCTCAGACAGTTTATGCCTTTAAATAAACCAAAATGGCACATGAATATACAGTGTTTAAGTTTTACCTGAACAGGAGGAAGTAACCTTAATACACAACAGTGAGAATTTAAGAACGTGATTTCCCTGACTTGATACACAGGCACTATCTATGACTAACTTAAGCAGGTTCATTTAAGACCAATAAAAGCATAGAAATAAAGTTATTGAAGGATTTTTTTTAATTAAAAAAAACAAAGGAGGAGAAACCTGACACCGTCACAGAATTGATACACTTTAATTTAGCATTAATTGGACCTTCATGTTTGTTGCAGCACTGTATGTTTGTTCCAACTTCATTTAGACCCACGGAGCTTCAGTGACACCTGAACAGTCTAGCCACAGTCTGGCAGACTAATACTTACCCAAGCCATACAGAGCGATTTTGGTTCTACCCTTACGCAATAAAATGGGACTAATATCTATTTTCTCCACAGAAGGTGAATGTCCAAAGTGATTCAACAGTCCTGCACAGCTTAAAATATCCAACGCACACAGTGCATCTGCCTGTAGAAAATATTAAGAAACAAATGTAAGAATCTTGAACAGAACAATTAGTCTCTAAAGTCTAAGTGAAACAGTCTCAAAAGAGAAAAAGAGTATCTTTCCTCAAGTAACTTCTGCAGTTGAAAAACCTCACTACATATATTAGCTTTTTTTTTTTTTTTTAGTACTCATGGGTACAGAAGCAAATTTCCTTTCCTTACAAGTCTTGCTTCATTTGAACAACATGAAATTAAACATTAAATCATTCAGAAAAACAAAACAAACTAAAACCCAAAACCAAGCAGCCAAAGTCTCTAAACTACTACAGAAAATTATCTGGCTAACGACTTCATAGTAGATCCAAAGTTAAACTTCTGTTGTTAAACACTCATCTCCATGATACAGTGCTATTTGATACAAAATGCAAAATTATTAATTCAACACATGTGCTTTACTTCTGTCTAAATGTCGTTTTCCTGCTTACTTTTAGTTATTGATTTTTAAACTACCCTTTCATCATTATTAGGTTATCCTCCTGGAAAATATAAGATGCATATCAATTGCATATGCACAAGTCAAAGTATCAAACTTCCCCTTCTTTAAGAAAAAAGCTTTCAGTCTCTACAGATAGAATTTGGTTTCAAAGCTTTCTGAAAGGCTGCCATTTCTTGGCATGAAAAGTGATTCTGTTCTCAATGACAGAAATCTATGTAAATTAAGAACTTAAACATAGTTCATATGGATCCCTTAACTTCTTCCATTCTCTCTTTTAATGTCATACTTAACTTCTCATCACTAATTAAGAGAATTCCTAAAGATGCACAAAATATTTATGTGAAGAGTGGAGCAGATGACTAAAACTAGCCTAGTTCTCCAAGAATGGTATTTCTATACAAGTCTCTATTTCTATATTATTATTTTTGTTATATAACAGTATAGCACAATTATGATAGTAATTACCCCTGTGGGATCATCATGATTGCCATGAATACTAAAAATTGGAATAGAAATGTTGAGATTTCTATCCTGATAATTCACCCATGGAAACCTGAACAAGAAGAGGGAAAAAAAGTTAAACTGTATCTGCAAATTTGTGGACAATCCCCAATATTCTCTTCAAACTAGTGTCATCACAAATACACCATGATAGCAGCACAAATGAGTACTAAGTGGCTACGAATAAGATGCACAGCATAAGATTCTTACTCATGGACTGGAATGGCACTTCCTGCTGGGAACAGGGTAGCAAAAATCCAATTTTTTTAGAGCAAGCCTATGAAAAGAATTGTACAACACATGTGGTACGTGCAAGAGCAGCAGACTGGGCTGTACCACCTTTGTTTACACAAAAAGAACTCTGCTGATTTTACCACAGCAATTCATGTAAATTGGTTTAATTGCATTGTACTTGCAGGATAGAAACTATATATTACAAAAACGTATCAAATGTCACAACACATTCAGAAGTTTCTCAAAAAATTGTGTACATTCCTTTATAGACTTAGATTATAAAAGATGACAGGGGAAGTCATCCTGTAAACTGTCCCATACAAACAGGCCTAAAACTTCAAGGTTCCAGTCACAGAGGATATAAATCATAAAAATCACAACACATTCACCGAATATGCAAACCAAACCTTACACCTTAATTTATAGGAACATACTTACTTGCTATAATGAAAATTAACTGCCTGATCACTCAAAATTTCAAACTGAACAGGACGATCACCCATGCAGTACTTTCTTAGTGACTCCAAACAAGAGTGTACTGTTTTTCTGGAAGGTTTGTTTTCATGAAAAAGGTCCCCACCTAATAAAACAAAGTCCACCTGTATGTAATAAAAAGCTCTATTATTTTAATACAACATTTTGCATTACCTTGAAAGACTTCCAAGAAAACTGTTTAAATTATTTCTCCTAAGGAGTTCCACATATCTTCTCATATCTAGACTTCTAGGTAAAACAAGTTGGTAGTTGCAAACACAGTATTTAATTACCTCATGAAAAAAACATTAACTAAATTATTTGTTAAAACAAAACCAAAGCCCAAAAGACCCATTTATGAAGAGTTGTAGGTGAAAACAAGATAGTGTTGAAAGAAAATACTGGTGAAGTGTTTTAATGAGGGTCTCCAAATTGGGTCCTGAACATTTTCTTTGACAGGCATGAAGAGATACAATATATTTTCATTGCTATGGTATTGTACTCAGTTTGCATAGCAAGGTTTTGGTAGCAGTGGGGCTGCAGGGCTGGCTTCTGAGAGAAGCTGCTAGAAGCTTCCCCTGTGTCCGACAGAGTCAATGCAGCCGGCTACAAGATGGACCCACCACTGGCCAAGGCCAAGCCCATCAACGAGGGTGGCAGCACCTCTGGGGTAACACATTTAAGAGGGGAAAAAACCTGCACAACTGCAGCTGGAGAGAGAATTGAGAGTACGTGAGAGCAACAACCCTGCAGACACCCAGGTGAGAGCACAAGGAGGGGCAGCAGGGGCTCCAGGCGCTGGGGCAAAGGTTCCCCGGCAGCCCCTGGGGAAGCCCAC